CATACCCTACTGGTTTAATGAATTACAGTCCAATAAATGGTTCATGGCTGACTGGTTTAATAAATTACAGCCTCCATAGATAATTCATACCCTACTGGTTTAATGAATTACAGTCCAATAAATGGTTCATGGCTGACTGGTTTAATAAATTACAGCCTCCATAGATAATTCATACCCTACTGGTTTAATGAATTACAGTCCAATAAATGGTTCATGGCTGACTGGTTTAATAAATTACAGCCTCCATAGATAATTCATACCCTACTGGTTTAATAAATTGGAGCCCCAATATATATTCCATAAGCGATTGGTTTAATAAATTGCAGTCCCAATACATGATTCATAGCCGACTGGTTTAATAAATTATATCCTCAATAGATTATTCTTATCCGACTGGTTTAACGAATAAGTTAATTATGATTATAGACTTAATCTGGGGTATACAATTGACTGGTTTTTAAAGATCGTTATTTGTCGTTATTGCTTCTATCAGCAGCAAATATAGCGACTGGTTAAATAGATAAATTATTTGTTGTTACTGCCCATGTCCTCGGTTGAATCGCATTTTATTTAGTATTCTCTTCACTAAACATGGAATAGAGATTAAGTGTTTCTAAAAGTAATTTGTCTCCACAAGAATCCTATTAACTCTACATTCTATACATACCTTTGTTTTTGTTTTTCGGTTTACTAGCCATATCAAATCTAATTTGTTGTCGTTTAAGTTATTTTATCTAATTATAGTTTGTATCTACGTGCACTATTTATGCAATACCTCAATTGTATTGGATCGGGCGTGTCCTAGTGGCTATATGGTGTGTCCGGAATGTGCATGCGAGGGTCCGTGGTTCATGTCTCTTTAGCGCAATAAAACGTGCTCCGCACTTTGGGGCCGAAGGTACACTATAAGAGTAACGGTCATATCCCATTATTAGGTCAGACAAGAGAAACCCAAGAGCTAGTGATAGGTGTTGTTAACTAGCTGTACCTTCTGGAGCTTTGTTTGCTTGTGTTTTAGCGCAAAGCTGCACAATAAACTATCTACACTCTGTCTACTTTGGGGAATAAAATCCGGGATTTTAGCGTTATAAGTCCATAAACTTACCATTGAACCATTGGGGGACCCTCCCTCTAGTCCAATGGTTCCCAACCTAGAAGTTACGCCCCTTTGGGGGTGCGCCAAATATGATAGAGGGTCCTCAAGGCTTGAAGATTTCAGTCAGTTCACATTTCTGAGTCGAACCCCCATGTGTGTGTGGGGGGGGAAGGTAAGGAGATTGTGTGTGTGCATTATATTAACATCTTTTCTGCTGAGTCGAACCCCCATGTGTGTGGGGGGGGAAGGTAAGGAGATGGGTGTGTGTGCATTATATTAACATCTTTTCTGGATATTTTTTGACAGCCACGGAACACGATGTGCAGGAGAAGTTGCAGCTATACGAGACAATAGAGTTTGTGGTGTTGGAGTGGCATACGATTCTAAAGTAGCAGGTAATAATAATTATGTGGCCAATTTTAATTTGAGAAAAAACGACGGTCTTAAGAATGTTTTAAAATATTTATTTTGTTATCAAAATTAAACTACATTCCAGTGTAACCTTTCATATAGCTATATTTTTAATTTGGTCTGGTATTGTTTTTCCGAGCAGATGATTTTAGCAAGAACTTGTAAATATCAGTTGCGAAGGTAGAAATTTATAATTTGGAACTTTCACACATCACGTCAGGGGACGCTCATGCTTCAGTATTTCTGTCGACAAAAACCTATAATCAGTAGTCTCATTTGACGATATCGAGATTTTAAAATCTCCACAGAAAGTTTTGCTATTTTCCGTTGGAAACGTAACTGATAAAGAAGGCTATAGGTAGGGAGAAATTGGCAGTAAATGTAGTTATAGATGTGACTGTAGCATTTTATTGCACATTAGAGAATTGCAATTGAGAAGATAATAAAAATAAATTCATTATATTTAATTATCAAAATCTTGCTTGTTGATTTAGATTTTCCGATTTTATTCACAATTAAAATAGTTTTAGCCTAAACCTGAAAAATTGACATCCTAATACATAAAAAAATGAATTAATTGAATTAAAAAATATTAATACTGACGTGTAAGCTTTTGTTGCTTCGACAATTTTTCTGTAGTTCGCAGATAAATGTTTAGGTAAAATGACACTTATTTATCTAGACACTTAATATTTGTTTCAACTTATTAGTTAAATAAATATAACTCATACAATAACCTCACGTACCCAGGTATACGAATGCTGGATCAACCGTACATGACTGATTTGATCGAAGCTAACTCAATGGGTCACGAGCCAAATCTGATCGACATATACAGTGCCTCTTGGGGACCTACAGATGATGGAAAAACAGTCGATGGACCAAGAAACGCCACAATGCGGGCAATTGTTCGTGGAGTTAATGAGGTGAACAGTTTCTGTGTTTCTATGTTTAATGCTATCGTTTTAACGAAGCTGTACAGTTATTACTACGATCACGATCAATGGAATAACACTCAGTTAATAATACACTAAGTTTCCGTGAAGCCTAACCTAAATAAATATTTAAGCTCAATTACTTAACACAGACAAAAAAAAACAAAAAACTTTTAAACCTCTATCCATATATTCTTGTAAGCACTGTGAGCATTGCACGTGTATGTGTATTCCTTCCTAATTGTCTGTTGTTACGGTATGCACATACCACATACTACCTCTCCTAAAGTATGTATTTAAATATAACGGACGCAGTTTTCGAGACTTCTGGTTTAGAGCTTGGCAAGTGCTGTCCGTAGCATCAACGGGGCAAGCGTGTTACGTGCTGTTTCGTGGAATAATTCTATAGTACCTAACACTATTTTGAATGCGAGATTACCTTAGTATTATCACATTCACCTGTTTGTGATTGGTGACCTATAACAGGAATGTTATTTACGATAGCAGGTTTGACGCTTTTGAGAGAGACTAGTTTTCCTTAAAGTGCCAAGACCTGGTGTGTTTTCGCTTGATTCCTGTACTGTATATGCTGTCCGTGCACTGACGTATTTTTAATCTCAGTTTGTTTTTTTTTGCCCCGGTGGGACAGATATAAGTCTATGGGCTTACAACGCTAAAATGCGGACTTCGATTCCTCGCGGTGGCTATAACTGATAGCCCAGTTTTTATTTTCCAGTCTATTTTGGTTTCTTTTATTTTACTTCAAATTCTCTGTTTTGCCTCTACTGAATTGTATTATGCAATGTTAGGCATACGAATTAAAAAATGTTTTTGGAAAAATACATAAAAATGTACTCGGTTCGAGCATATAAACTTTTGGGATACAGTCAGTTTTAGCGTATTAATTCTGTGTATATTAAAATACAAATAGATGAGTTGACGCAAACTCATAGTTTTTCGTTTCTTAGGTATGCAAAACGTATCGTTTATCAGTAAACCAATCCGTTTCAGACTATACTTGTTAAGGTTTATAAAATGTTAATGTCTTTTTCGTAATACTACCTTGTAATGTAAGTATGACTGACAGGTGTTAAACAAACCTTTTTATCTGTTTCCCGTGAAAATTTATTCCTCGGTAGTGGAGCAAAGTCGAGCATGTTAATTACCAACAGCTCTCATTTTAATTATATAAAAAAAAAAATCCCCTAGTCATAGTTAACTAATCCAACTTTGTTTAAGCCTCTCAAAGAAAAATATGAAATTTAATTTATGTTATCATTCAATATATTTTTTTTTCTTAATTGAAATTCAAATTCACCATCATTTACCCTATCCATATTAATTTTTCTGAACATTGGAAAATGTAAAAGGAACCAAGATGTTGTCACCAAAGCGGAAATTACCGTCAAATACAAGCAGTTTGTCGTCAGCAAGGGAGTTAAATCAATTTGGCTAAAAGAACTTTGTACTTGTGAGCATGGAATCAGTCTTATCGTACGACGATAAGACTAATAATTAAACCCAAGATGGCTTTGTGTGTTTGAGTGTTCATTCATTAAATCAGGAAGAGTTATCAAGGCAAAAATCCACATTACAAAAATGTTAGAAGAATGTCAGAGACAAAAAGAAAGCCTTATCTTGCATGGTAAAGTGTGTTCTATTAAATTTCGTATCAAGAAAGTGGACAATATTTTCTTCTTAAACTTTACTACACTGAGTTAGTAAGAGATATTTTAACATCTTTGCTTATATTTTAAGACTTTTCTGTATTTTCTTCATTTTTGTGTATATCTTCTATGTAAACGAATTTAAAATATAAAAATAGCTCTTTAAGTTATATATTTATACAATCATCCTTGTCTTGGCTATTAAATAGCTTCTTTAGGCACTGTACATTTGACAAGGCAGATAAAATACAATCGTAATAAGTTATGTATTGATGAAGTGACGTATGTTTTTCGTCTTAATGCTGACACAGAAACTAATCAACTAATGTTTTAAAAGCGACAAAACAGTAACAGGCCAATTCCTTGTGGGGATAAGCTTGTTTGTTTGTTTAAAGTTCACCACAAAGCTACACAATAGACTATCTGTGCTCTGCACACTACGAGTAGAAACCCGATTTCTAGCGTAGTAAGTTCGCAGACATACCATTGTCCCACTGGGTGCTGTAAAGGTAAGAGTCTTTCAAGTCAATGAAGAAAGTTAAGTTAGAAATAAGGTAGAAGGCAAAGTCATTAATAAGAATCTACAGTCATATTGAACAGATATGACACTGTCTGAAAGCTATGTTTGTATACAAAAATCTACGTTAGAACTAAAACCAAAAATAATATGTTTTAATAACAATATAGCCATTATTTTACTCTTCTGCTGTTTATCATCTATTACCTACATTTAAACTAGTAACACAACAGACTTAAGTTGTTTTTAATGTTGAAAATTAACATGGCCTACATTTAGGTAGTTTTTAGAGTAGGACAAAATTTGTGTCCTTTTTCGAACCTTTGAATATTCGCAACAATATTTGATTTGCCATTTTTTGAGAATATAATTATTTATATTGATGCTTTATCAAATCAACATCAAGAATCACCTGATAACAACTAGAAGTTTTTAAAAACCATCAGGATTTAATGTCTCTTCATACTTCTGTAGGGTCGGCGGGGTTTGGGAAATATTTACGTCTGGGCTTCCGGAGATGGAGGAGAAGACGATGACTGTAACTGTGATGGGTATGCTGCCAGCATGTGGACCATTTCCATCAATTCAGCAATCAACAATGGAGAGAATGCTCACTATGACGAGTCCTGTTCATCCACTCTGGCATCTACTTTCAGCAATGGAGCAAAAGACCCACACACTGGAGTGGTAGGTTCAAGATCTTCATCCTGAATGTAAAAATTTTATCACTGAGCAAGAACAAGAAGTTATAGAAGCTATAGCAGTTGCCTGTATCTTTATTTTGGTTTGTTATGTAACTTTAAATAATGGGAATAAATTGTTATGAAGCAAAAAAAAAGCTAACGAATTTATAACAAATATAAAATATCATATAATCTCATAGATTCCAACATTGAAACTACGTGCTAGAATTAGATAGTTTCAATCTAAACACCACCTTATGCGATGCGTGAGCTAAAAGGCCATGTTAGTCCCCGGAACTGTAGACCGGAGAGAGAGCAACCAGTCAGCTGGTACCGCCACCTACATTACTACTCTTAACCGAATAGCAGGATTAACTGTAACCATTAAACGTGTGGAGTGCATTCAGTGGTATATCTCGGTTCAAATCTTGGACCTCCTCTCAACCCACTGGGCCATCACTGGTTGAGGTGCAAAAATATTATAACTAAAAATACTTTTGTTGAATTTTTATATTCATACGATAGGTTAATATTTTAAATATTTTATTTGTTGTTTTTTAATGTAGAGGAAGACAAAAATTAATTGGTTTATAATTCACGTTTGAAAAATATTAATGCCATTTGTTTAAACGTTAAATCCGGATTTTGATGTCTGGATCAGTCATCTTATAAGCTATGTTTCTTTTCTTTCTTTCTTTTTTGTAAATATTAAAGCGGAGTATTTTTGTTTTGTTCAAAAGACAGAGGACACCAGACTGTGTCTCAGGGTTTGCTATTGTAGCTCACTTCAGAGAAGTCTCTAACAGTAGTAGGAACTAAAAATGTTCTCCTGGAAATTAATTATAACTAAGTTTAACACTCACTTCAGAAAAGTCTCTAACAGTATTAGAAACTGAAAATCTTCTCTTGGAAACTAATTATAACTAAGTTTAACTCACTTCAGAGAAGTCTCTAACAGTAGTAGGAACTAAAAATATTCTCCTGGAAACTAATTATAACTAAGTTTAACTCACTTCAGAGAAGTCTCTAACAGTAGTAGAAACTAAAAATATTCTCTTGGAAACTAATTATAACTAAGTTTAACTCACTTCAGAGAAGTCTCTAACAGTAGTAGGAACTAAAAATTTTCTCTTGGAAACTAATTATAACTAAGTTTGTTATGAGCTACTTTAATCTTCTTCAAACAACGTGATTGATTTATAATTCTGAATTATTAATGTTTGATCCTATTGAAACATGAAGGTTTTATTATTATAATCGCTTCTATTTAACCTAATTAAATAAATAAATGATAGGTGTTTAAAACATGGAACTCTTTTTGAGCTCTATGGTATTCCTTTGTTATAAAACAAGTGATAAAAATAGCACTACAATATACAGCTTTCATTTTTATTGTAGTTGTCTTTTGAAACCAATATATTTCTTCAGCGACTAAACTAAATCCCTAGACCCATTATTCTGTAAAGAGTTTTGAAATAGAAAAGTTCCGAATGTCACGTATACAAATAGAAACAGACCCAACTGTGTTATAAAGCTTGTTAAAAACAATCTCAGCTCTGTCCATACGATTTAGTGTAGTTATTTCCAGTAAGAAGGGTTTTTAAAAACCTCCTGTCGACGCTGGAAAGATTTCGCAGTATATTCTTGATCCCACCCTGTATCTGAGACAGTGTAGTTTCATTCCTTACGTTACTGGAGCCCCCCAGTAGCACAGCGGTATGTCTGCGGACTTACAACGCTAGAATCCGGGTTTCGATACCCGTGGTGGGCAGAGCACAGATAGCCCATCGTGTAGCTTTGTGCTTAACTTAAAAAACAAAAAAAATAAACAACGTTACTGGCATCCATATTGAAGATGAATAAAATCTGTAAGTCAGAATAAACGAGAAGGGATGTTAGTCACTAGCGCAGAGCTTCGAAGGCTGATTCACATCACAGAGTTTACTTGAACATCCAGGTCCATTAAAGCGGGTTGAGTGATATTATTGTAGCAAACTGTGTAAAATATCGACAAAAATGTGAAGCAAAACCAATTCAAAATTTTCAATTCCTTCCTTATTGTGAGATGTGACCAGTTATCGATAGTATCAGTTTTTGAAAGGCTATTGATGACTGTTTTGTTTCATTATGTTGTGTGGAAAAGCCACCTTATCTTGCATGAATATTAAGTTGGACAGCTTCAAATTTATTTTACATTTCCTGAGATGCAGAAATATCTCTTTTAGCTTTGTTAGAATGTGCTGGAAGTCTTTTCAGATGCAAATAAGATACGTTCCTACTATAGCCCTCTTGGTATGAGCTCCATTAATTAAGGAACGCTGCTGGGGCTTTGCACAAGCTAAAATTAATGACATGACTTTTAACTTATACAGGTCTTATCTGGTGTTAAAAATACTTATTGATGTCCTAGTTTCATCAAGCTCCGTTTGTAAGTATTCTACAACTGAATCTAGGATGCAAGGTCTTTGAACAACCATCAGTATATGTTGTGTTGACAAAACGTACTTTCGAAATTTGATGCCGTACTTCCTTCTTATTTAGAACGTCTTTTAGTAGTAATTTTGCAAGATCTGGAACGTTTACATATTCTACTGAGTCTAATACCTTGGGAATGTTCGCTGAAAAATTGTTCTTGGGGTGAAGCAATTAGAGTTTCTTTCCGCAGGCGTGCATTGAGGTGTTGTGTAGTTGCACAGAAACGTTGCACCTTTTCTCAAGAATAATTTCACCAGTGACATTTCCACCCTAGTCTGCGAGTTTTATCGATTTTCTCTCTGAAGATTGAAACTGCTTTTTTTTATGGACGTAATCTGGATAGTGTATTTCACTACTTTGAGGCAATCGTTAGTGTGCCTGAGGATATTGTAATTGAGATAATAACAGATACCATAGTCCATAGATATTGGTCATATCAGTAGGCCAGATTATCCAGTGTCTGGACAGTTTAATGTAAATGTGTCAACTTCAAGATTTCTAGATGCTTTTACTCGTAGATTCATCGAAATATAAACCTGCTTTTCTGAGTTATTACAAAGCGGATGTTTCCTTAGTCTAGTGTTGAAGAAACCCACACGTATGATATGTTTACCACTATTAGGTGGTTCTGAATGACAGATATATTTGGCCCATTTTTGTACATTACTTCTGGGGATGATTAATCTCTTTTTTTATTTTCTTCTCTGATCAATCTTCTTTATAGAATAGTTAAAAACGAAGACATTTGCGCATTACATAAACGTTTCTATGCATTAGCGAATAATTGTTCAAGTTTAAAGTTCTTCTTGGCAATACTGTGTTTAGAAAACTTATCCTAACATGTCAAAGAGATTGATGCTCTTAAAACTTCTTGGTAATCCAGAACCCAAGTATCTGTAAAAAACATTTTAGTCATTATTCGCTGTTCCAAAGTTTCCCATTGGTTTCTAATCTATATCATTTTCTCGTAGTTGGTTCAATATGGCGAACCTTTGAAAAACTCCAAATGCGGCAAACAAAATTTTTCTCTCGTTTTAAGTGAATTAGAGAGATGCAATGTGAGAAAATTGATTTAATCTGTTAAATTTTGAACAGAGGAAATTAAACCACCTTCTTTTTTTCGGAAGAATCTGCAGGTACCTGATCACATTGTCATAAATCGGTTAGTTATGTTCATATCTTATTAATGCAGTATGGAATTCTTTGATAATGATCGTAAAGTTTACTTTTCTTCCACAATTCGCACACTTTCTACTTCTTTTCACGCTTCTACATCAATCCTCAAGAAGTATTCAGGACACAATATTTTGTTTTCAGTTATTTCTTTACAATTAATTTTTGGGTTGCTATTACAGAAGAACCAGTTTCTAACCAGCTTTCTGGCTCAGTTTCCATCGTGCCTCTTCAGTGTTCAATGTATATTATGCTTCAGGCCATTGACAGGACTCAATGAGGTATTCATCCTTGACACAATTCGATTTTCACCTATTCCTCGAACGAAATTGTTTCCAAACCCTTCGGGATTGAAGGAAAGGAGACTTGTACTCTAACGGCACAGTCAACTACATTCCACAGAATCACGATTAGGTTGAAATCTGACCAAAAAAGATGTTGGAAATCCTCTTTATGCTTTAACCATTTACAAACAACATTCGTGTGATGAATGGTGACCTTGTTATCTTGAAAATTCCTGTCACAGAAATGATAAAAATGAGGCATGAGAGGGTGCACTTGATTCCTGTGGTTCATTCAGATAAATCACATTAAAATCAGCCCCACATCATTATTCCACTTCCAGTAGCTTGCATAGTGGAAGACTCGCCAAATCCCCAATCTGTACAAAAATAGTGTATATCAAGGTTCATCTGACTAAATGACAAATTTTCATTGGTCAACAGTCTAAAATCGATAGTATTTCCAACACTAAGAGCGTACGTTTCTGTTGGCATCTGAAACTAATGGTTTGCAGATAGGACAACTATTGCCAAAATAAGGCCTGCCAGTAACCCTATAAAACCTATTAATGTCTATATTTTGAAAGTGATTCTCTATATTTTTGGGGGAAAACGACGTATAAAACCTATAAAAACGTATATTTTTTCTTCAACTGGCCTGCACCCTCATTTATATATATTCATGGTTTCACAATAATTTGTTAAAAACAAGGCATTAGAAAAAAAAGGAGATAGTTCGTCACTGTAACTGTAAACAAACCTTATAACAAAGGTGATAAGCTAGTAATTATTTCTTGGAAAAACATAAGAAATCTAATTTGATTATAATAAGCCAACAAAACCCATATTTGTATATTACAGCCTATTTTTTTTAGCATACCATTTTCCTTTAAATGGACTGGAACTCTGAAGGACTAACGCATTTCCTTTCTAACACATTGTTATTGTTGAAATTGATAGTCTCGGTCCAAGGGTTAAGTCAATTATCAACTTTTTTTACCATTGAATCCGTATTGACCTTTACAACCCTTGATAACTGCTGTTTGTCTTTGACTTGGAGCAGTTTCTTCCGTCCACAATTTACCTTTCTTGCAGATGCTTACTGAGATTGCTACCACGTTGCATAGACTCGTGAGATGATCGCTTTTATTTCTCAGTCAGTTCTATTGTTTTTGTTTATCTAGGCACTAACTAATCGGGCCCCAATAATAATGCCTTTTTCGAAGTCAAATACATCTATAACCTTTCCAATTTTACAAAAAAATAACTTACTAACGCTATTTATACTGTTACAATAGTTAAATTGGGAACGTCTCATTGCCTATTTACTCAAAAACGGTTGAAAAGTTCAAAAATTAAATAAATAACGGTGTTTCTAATTTTATGATTAGGCTGCGTAAATGTTTGAATCAAATTTAACAACTCCAGTTTCACGTATTCCCTGTCCATAAAAATGGAGCACGGACAAGCACTAAAATCCACAGCAAATGTTAAAGGCATACATTAATAGCTATTTCTTTAATTAGTTGTCTTCTTAACCCCAGTATTTCCTGTAGTAATGTGTGTTTAACCTTATTTTAAGTTCATACAAGGATTAAAGTTTTACTCATATAATGAATCATCATTGTGACCAGCCTGACACACTCGTACCTGTGTACATGTTCATCATCCTTATTGCAATAAACATCAATAAAACAAGCGAATATATTTATATGAAAAAACGTTTTATTACTGTAAGTGGTAGTACATTGACAAGTCTGACGTCGTATGGCACTGTCTCGTGTGATCTGACATTAAATGGTTCCGTCGTGCAAGACCTGACATTAAATGGTACTGGCGTGCAAGATCTGCCTTCAAATGGTGCCATCATGCAAAAAGTATTGTTCAGATTTAAAGTGCTCTCCAACTCGTTGAAAGCACAAATGAGACAAAATCTCTTTCTATTTGAGCCCTATTTTGACAGAGTTTCTACTCATGTCTCTGACTCGTCGAATACCATAGCAGGTATGTCACCTATTCACATAACAAAGAAAACTGGATGTATTATAGCTAGGGCTTACTATCGCGTGGATATGAAAGAACACACCCATAACTGAGTAATCTATGAATAGTTGTTGTTGTTTGTAATTAAGCACAAAGCTACACAATGGGCTATCTGTGCTCTGCCCACCACGGGTATCGAAACCTGGATTCTAGCGTTGTGAGTCTGCAGACATACCGCTGTGCCACTGGGGGGATCTATAAAGAGAGTAATTAATATTTATATTGTTGTGTTATATGCTATGATTTACAATAACGTAGAGATTTGGATTTAAATATGGGTTCCGTGTTTATACGCGCAAGTTTTGACTTTTAAATGCACGAACTTCGTTAAAATATATATACATTTACAGCTATGTATAGAAATACAAATAATTATATTGATCTTTTAAATTTTTTATGAGGAATAAGAGAAACCAATTAATTAAACATTTCTTCGGTTTGTTCTCTGTAGGCCACCACCGACCTTTATGGCAAATGTACTAAAACCCACTCAGGCACTTCCGCTGCAGCACCAGAGGCCGCTGGAGTTTTTGCTTTAGCATTGGAAGCAAAGTAAGTTATTTTGAAATGTACAATTTCGACACGGGTAGTCGTTATTGTGTAAATTATAAATGATGAAACAGAAATATTTTTCTGGAATAGCTTCTGAGAACCATCCTAAAGTTCAAAGAGCTTCAAGTTGAATCCTGCTACACATAACATTGTGTCTATCGATTTCAAGTTGAGTCGTGCTATACACAACATTGTGTCCATCGATTTCAACTTGAATCCTGCTACACACAACATTGTGTCCATCGATTTCAACTTGAATCCTGCTACACACAACATTGTGTCCATCGATTTCAACTTGAATCCTGCTACACACAACATTGTGTCCATCGGTTTCTTGAACTGAACGACAAAGTGACAGTCGAAACGTCCAGTATATTGAACTGTTAGATCGTTATTTATGTTTCTAAGCATTTTATACCATTTTTAATTTTTTCACTTATCGAATTACTAAAGATCACTGTTTGTTATTTCTGACTTGCTGCCCAGACTTAAAATAAGTTTTAGTACTTACTATAACACAGACATCATTGGCATCGTGGCAAACTGCCCTCATTATGTTTCAGGCTGGTTTTTAATAAGAATGTTGCACGTGTAACTGATTTCTGATATACGGGAATGGCGCGAAAAAGGGAAATGCGGAAACTAAAACATTACCAAGCCAGATATAAGTCAGTTAAAAAAAATGAGAAATTTCGAATTTTGTGTGGCAATTAAATTTGTCGACAAATAACATGATATTTAATAGAGTAAGAATAACTTGGAGAAACGTAGTTACAATAAAATCACAATAAATAAATAAAAAGATAAAGTATTAATCCGAATGATAATAAATGATAAGATAAAAATAAACAAGATTAGAAATAAAACAAAAACAGAAATCTCGCATAATGTAATGTTAAACAAAACAAACTCATTTTTATTTTGCAGAGAACTGATTAAAAGCCAAAGTAACTGATTTCAGATTAAAGGTTTCCTGTGGCCCTGTACTGAACTAATTCATTAAAACTAGACATGACTTCCAATTTGCATTTGTCTGCTGAAATTATATATACTTTCTTACAGGCATGTTCAGACCTGCTCTTTCTTTCTTGCAGTCCTAACCTGTCCTGGAGAGATATCCAGCATCTATCTGTCCTCACTTCTAAACGGAACTCCCTCTATGACAGCAAAGGAAGATTCAATTGGATCATGAACGGAGTTGGTCTAGAGTTCAATCATCTGTTTGGATTCGGAGTTCTAGATGCTGGAGCCATGGTTGCATTGGCTCGCTTATGGAAAACAGTACCTGCTCGCTACCACTGTGATGCAGGAACTCTCGCTACAGTAAGGTATGGTACATTGTAGGGAAATATTACAATAAGAAATGGTACATTGTAGGAAATTACCAGAGTAAAGAATGGTACATTGTAGGGAAAATATTACAGTAAAGAATGGTACATTGTAGAAAATATTACAGTAAAGAATGGTACATTGTAGGAAAATATTACAGTAAAGAATGGTACATTGTAGGGAAATATTACAGTAAGAAATGGTATTTTGTAGGAAATTACCAGAGTAAAGAATGGTACATTGTAGGGAAAATATTACAGTAAAGAATGGTACATTGTATGGAAAATATTACAGTAAGAAATGGTATTTTGTAGAGAAAATATTACAGTAAGAAATGGTACATTGTATGGAAATACTACAGTAAGGAATGGTTCATTATATTAAATACTACAGTAAGGAATGGTACATTGTACGAAAATATTACAGTTATAAATGGTATATTGCAGGGAAAATACTGCAGTAAGGAATGGTACATTATATTAAAATACTGCAGTAAGGAATGGTACATTGTACGAAAATATTACAGTTATAAATGGTATATTGCAGGGAAAATACTGCAGTAAGGAATGGTACATTGTACGAAAATATTACAGTTATATTGTAGGGAAAATACTGCAGTAAGTAATGGTATATTGTAGGGAAATACTTATCATTTCCCATCTTCTTACATTAATAACCTACATATTCGTTCTCATTTCTTTTTTTTTTATTTCTTCCTTCCCTCCTTACTTTGCGCGTATTTTCATTCTTGTGTTTACTGCGTTACTCTGGGCGCTCAAAATACCATCTCATTGCTTAACTTTACTCCAATGATCATTTATTTCCGTATCTATGTACCCAGTCACTTTTCCAGTTCTTTACTTATTTTACTCTCTACGTCTTAACATCCCTTATTTATTTATACAGTTTCGGCATTTCTTTTTAAATAATGAATTTGCCATTTGGAAACTACCTTTACATAATCACACATCGATCCAGCTCTTCCATTATGTGTTTACCTTATTCTTCTTTTTATGTTAATGTATTTCTCTGTCTAATTACTCATTTGTTACTTATTTTATTCCCACTAACTTACTCATCCTTTCTCACCTCTTTACCTTATTTTACTGCCTATTTTTTTTCTTTCTTACTTACTCTCTTATTTTATTCCCCTTCTAATATCCTCATTAATTTACTTGTCCTTGCTCACCTTGCTATTTTAATTTTATTCACTTATTTTCATTAATAACTTAATTTTTCTTTTAGAGAAATTTCCAGTAACAGAAGTCTCCTTATCCACATCGATACAGATGCTTGCAAAGGAACAGATACTGAGGTTAACTATGTCGAACACGTACAGGCTGTAATTACTCTAAACGCCAGCAGGCGGGGTGACGTCAACATTTTCCTCTACTCCCCCATGGGTACAAGGTGCGTCTGGATCGCTATCTTCATCTATTTATGAAAAATATTAAGTGACATAGATAAGGCAAAAGTTAATTACATGGAGTATATACAATCTACAGTTACTCTAACTGCCACCAGCTGGGTGACGTCTACACTTAACTATACTCTTTCACGAGTAAAAGTTTTATGGATAGCCAAATCTTATATGGATGCATATTAATTTTTTTAAATACTCAAATTAATAAAGCAAATTTGAGTCAAATACATAGGTACAGGCGTGCTATAGTTACTTTGCATGCCACCGGATGAGACGAGGATATAAGATTGTTTGTTTGTTGTTTTTAGCGCAAAGCTACATGATGGACTATCTGTGATCTGTTCATCGCGGAAAATCGAACCTCGGATTTTAGCGTTCTAATACCGTAAACTTATCGCTGATCCACCTGGGGCCAGAATATAAATAATGAATAGGAAGTCATTGTCTTCTTCTGTGTTAATTATGAAAATAATTTTAAAAAATATAATCTGATACATACGTATTTTTGTAAAAGTATTTCAAATGTAAGTGTATCAACAAAATCAACTCAGGATCATTCTTGAGCATATCGAAGCTCCATATTCATTAGTTTTACACATGCATACTTCTACACCTGTTATTTACCTTATCTATATAAATATAACAGTACTGTCTGTTGTATGTCCATGTAACTACTTCACAGGGTGTAGATGGATCTTCACCAAAATTAGTATGGAGGTTCATTAGGTCCATGCGTGGATATATACAAATTTTCAGTTTTGTATTTTGCATTTTGCGGTTTTTATGGGCGTTTTTGCCTTTTTTTACCACTACTTCGCTCCCTGTAGATGGATCTTCACCAAATTTGGTATGGAGGTTCATTGGATCCATAGGGAGATACATACAAATTTCAGTATTGCATTTTGCAGTTTTATGGGCGTTTTTCTTTACCATTACTTCGCCCCCTGTAGTTGGATCTTCACCAAATTTATCATGAAGGCTTATTGGGTCCATGCGGAAATACATGTAAATTAGCTGTTTTACATTTGTGTTTTGCAGTTTTTATGGACATTTTTTTACAATTAAATGTAAGAGAAGTAACTTTCCATGTCCTAAGATAATGTTTCATTAATCATGTATTTACATAACGTCCGTCTTGGGGACGGGTACTCCAACTAGTATGGTAATACACTGTTATGTTAAAAATGTTGTTGCAATAATATAAACCAATATGTAGTTTAGAGCAGCAATACAGTATAACACATAATTATACCATCAATATAATTATTTGACTATTATATAACTTATATATTGGATTATATTATAACACATATATATATATATATAGTTAAGAGGTGACTGATTACAACATTAATATAGCACTTTCATGTGTCCTCGTTTTTATTTCCTTTAATTAACATATATTAAGTTTATTTTGGCAACAATATGCTTTATTGTTCAACCTTCACCAGAAAATAAAATCGGCAACACATGCGTTTTTAATTAGTGTTAATTATGTTTCATGGTTCTTTAATCGATTATATCACACCTGTTACCTATTAATTAATTAAATTTGTTTGCTCCACCTTAGGTCTATGATACTCAGCAGAAGGCCTAACGATGATGATCGCCATGATGGTTTTACTAAATGGCCTTTTATGACCACCCACACGTGGGCCGAGAATCCCAGAGGTCGGTGGACTCTAGAGGTCAAGTTTGATAGCCAGCTTCCCCAGTCAGGCTACTTGAAAGAGTGGACACTGGTTATTCACGGAACCCGTGACCCTCCCTATCGAGATCTGCCTGTAGAGGACGAAAATTCCAAACTTGCTATTGTTAAGAAAGCACACGAAGCAGGCTACAAGATTTAAGGAACCCTAAACTGAAGTGAAACACTTTTTTTTTCTTTCCAGAAAATATCATTTTATACCATTTTTTTGTCTGTATACTCAAATCCAAAAAAAAAGGAAAAAATCCCACAGATTCTTTTACTCTTTTAAAATTTGAATAAGAGGAAATCGACTTTTTAAAATAATTCTTTAGCAGATAAAACACAACTTTCACTGGATTTGCTGTGGAAGTTACCTCTGATTCCATTTTTCTACTAGAAATTTAACTAGAAATTCGTCGTATGTTTTACCAAAATACATTTTCCTTTCTAAATGCGTCTTTATGTAAATTTTAGATTTTTCTGTTTAAACAAATACACTGTAGTATATAGAAGCTTTGTTGTTACAAGTTCGCCTCCAGCTATTATATATCAAAATGTAAAATTTGATCAGGGTTAAATTCGCCATATTAGCTCTGGTTGCATAAAATCACGAAAAACACGTTCAGTTATTATATAAAGAACTTCTGTTCTGTGACTTGTGTTTATTACAACGCATTCAAACTTGAGAAGAAATATTAATATATCAGATCAGAGCTTACAAACAGAATTAATGTGATCCACTGTTGTTTTTTCATAGACACCGTTACCTAACTGGATTTATATTTCATGAAAAAAAGGATGAGCTGAGCACGTGATTTTGGTTAACAAATTAAATGTTTTTTTTCCTGATTAGAGAAGTTGTAATACTATTTTTAAGGACGAGAATAATAAGCTGTTTTATCAGTAAAAGTATTCAAAATTAAGAGTTTCCATTATTTCCCATCTTTAAATCCTACTAATATATATATTTATAATATTTGAAATATAATACCGGAGCAAGATTTTTTGGAAGTCACGATATACCAAATGAACATCTTTCTGTTCTATTAAACTTATGAATTGTAGTCGTATATGTATAGAAGTAGAGCGTAACTTAACATTATCACATTTATTGTGCACGTGTTGTGATATCTGAAAAATCTTTTCTACCATCCAGTCTTGACTTGAATATAAAAACCTTTAGAATTATTTAAAACAAGTTGAAATATCCGGTTAATACTCACGTTATTGTTACGTATTTCTTACTACGTTAACTCTTTGTACTCTGATCGAATGTTCTTAGCTAGAAATAATTCAACACTTTTGTAAAATTCCTGAATGTTTGGCTTTTAATGGAATTCTACAATAACAAAAATTGTTATCTATTTTACTCGAAAATTTCTGGCAAGTTTTACGTAATTGGGTGATATACATACACACACACGACTTTTTCTTAACAGTAATGAACTTAGACTTTTAATATATAAGAAAGACGTACATTATTTGTACTTGAATTGTTTTATATGTTGTGTTTAAAATATTTGACCTCCAATTTGATTTGATGATTTGATTATATGACGTGTTAAGAATATCAAGTGTAATTGTTCTTGATCCAATGAACAAAACTTAATGATGTCTCACTATACATGTTATAAAACTCATGAGTTATAAAGATGATGTGTACCTTACAGTATATGATAATAGTTCTATACGCAGATTAGTTTCTGCTTCCTGGACAAAGAACTAACCATTGAATCACATAATTACTGTTAACAAAGCTTCGAGGTTTTAACTGAATTTATATATGTTAGCCTTCTCCCCTGTCTTATTACGAGCAAAACGCTGTGAAAAGAAAGATAAAGGTTCAACTGTATTAACACATTGAGGTTATATCTATTTCGACTTGATCGCTTGTTAGTTTTTGAAACTAGTGGATTAAAAAAATTAAGCAGACATATCATAATTATTATAAAAATAAATCAGAGTAAAAAATTTTAAACATTAATGAAGCAAGAAGTGGACACTTGATCTTTTTATCTAAATTACGAAAAATTATTTTTCGTTTTATTAAAAACCTTTGAAGCCTTTCATGAACACTAACTAGTTACGTATTATGACGTTTTGTTTGTAAAATAATGTTTGAAGCAAGGTTTAATGATAAAGAAATCTTCTCCAAGTGCTACGAGCGACCCTCCACGACGAAGACAACAGTTAGGCGAGAACTGATCCTTTTAAGTATAATTTTAATAAGATATTTATCCTGAAACTAGATATTATATTGTAATATTTCATCAACAATATAGTCATTACTTGAAATTACCTTTAAGAGTTTTTACCTCGTCACCCATGACTTCCTTCTAAGAGTATCATTACCAACACATTTAGTTCGTCACGTGCTGCCTAGCATTTGTCTCGGAACCTAATATTAGCTTTGAGATTTCCTCAACAGTATTTACCTCGTTAATAACCAAAACGTACGTTATCAAATGTCTTGATAAAGTTTATCCCATAAACTCTTAATGCTTCTAGAGGCTTGACAAGAGAGGATTTTTTTCATCGCGGGGGAGGGGTTGTATTTTCTACACAGAACCTTTACAACTCGGTCTGTTAATTGCCTTGAAAGTGTGCTTGCAGTGGTATTCTGAAATATGATATATTTGTAACTGTTCTGACAGCTGTAAAATAAAGTGTTCTAATGCTGACTAACCGAATTATGAAACATGAATGAAATTGTGAAAACTTTGAAGTGATTAATAATATATCGTTTTGAGGATCCTATAATATCTTTGTTAGTTGTTGTTTTTTGTTACTTGCAACAAACAATACAAGACGTATCTAAATGAGTTTTATGAAGGGTAGATTGTGCTGCCCTTGCGACGTCAGCATCTGCTTGTTTGGAGGAGACAGAAACGCCCTCCAATCCAAATGAAATCCATAAGAACTTCAAATCCCAACAATCCAGGGTTTCAGTTTTATTTTTTAATTTTTCTTCTTTCTCTCTCTGGGCTGATATTTGTTTAATAAAAAAGCGGTAATATAACAATATAAAACAAGCGTGTTTTTTCTGAAACGTGCCTCAGGATATTATAATTGAGAGTGATCCTCTGCAACCCACGGTGAATCCGCTAATTCAGTTAATTTTAGTTACTCTGTTAAAAGGCCAAATACAATGCATGTTTATCCATCGTTGACTGGAAAATATAACGTGTTTCTTATAAGACTTTATCTAACGTTAACACCACCTGTCATTAGGTGAGAAGGATTCTTAGAAATCATGGAACCAGCGATTGTTTTACGAAATGTGGATTTACTGATTCAGAGCTACTTGTTCTCTTTTTGTGAGTTGTAACAACTGTAAAAAAATGTAAACAATTATAGAAATAAAATTAATAGTTTTTCTGTCCCTAAAATTTATTATGAATTTTTAGTTATTTATAGTATTATGTAACGTTATATTTCTTCGCTAGTAATAACGACAGTGGCTGAATGTGATAAGCATGGTACATGAAGCTTAACATGTGACAGCTCTACCCTGATGCCTGGTAATATTGACCAACCTAGTCAGGTTTGAATTTTAAGAGTCAAGTATTATTGGGTTAAGGGCCCCGCAAATAACCTAACTGATGACCTAGGACAGAATGATGATAGAAGTGTTTGTAGTTTGGCTGTCACTCATAATTAAGACTGTTTATTATTAATTGTAATTATTATTCTAAAATTTCTAGCGACCCTTCTGGTAGATGTTATTACATAATTCCAATGATATTACAAGTGTTTGTAATTTACCTGTCACTCACAATTAAGACTATTTATTGTTTTTATTGTTAATTGTAATTATTATTCTAAAATTTCTAGCGACCCTTCTGGTAGATGTTATTACATAATTCCAATGATATTACAAGTGTTTGTAATTTACCTGTCACTCACAATTAAGACTATTTATTGTTTTATTGTTAATTGTAATTATTATTCTAAAATTTCTAGCGACCCTTCTGGTAGATGTTATTACATAATTCCAATGACATTATAAACGTGACGAATTAAATGTTATAAATGTTACAGCAAATTCTACAGTTGTAAAAGGGAAATTTAATTTACCTTATAACTCCTCAAACAACTGTCGACCAATATTTGAAAATATAATTTTCGGACACGGCGAACATTTTCACGCTAAGTTATCAGACACTCTAAGTTCACCTTACCTTAAACTAGTCAGGGACTTTAATGTACGACGATAAAGGCCAGTAAACTATAGTGAACAACAGTGTATCAGTCAATTTGATTTTCAAAATAGGAATTACACAGAATTAACAAACACTGTCAACATATGTCCTGAAATAGTATAATAGATTGGACCTGGTGTGGCCTAGTGATTATCGTGCTGAGATCGTAAATCCGTGGTTTATGGTTGTTGTTGTTTGCAGTTAAACACAAAGCTACACAAAGGGCTATCTGTGCTCTGCCCACCACGGGTGTCGAAACCCGGTTTCTAGCGTTGTAAGTCCGCAGACATATTGCTGTGCCACTGGGGGCGTGGTTTATGGCCCGTTGCTGCAAAAATATGCTTCTTACTTTCGGTCTATGAGGGCGCTATAAGCTTGTCGGTCAAATTCCACAATTCGGTGAGACGAGAGTAAGTGGGTGCTGTTGACTAGCTGCCTTCCCCTAGCGGCCTAATCTATCACTTCAGAATTAGGGACGGCTTTGAACAAAAGTTCTGAAACCAACAACAACAACACAAATAACAGATTAGCACTATTAAAGCGCAAAAAAAGATTAATCACAAAGAATTATTTATTATTTTGAAAATGATATAAACATCAGTTTAGTAGTACTAGGGGCATATATATATTTGTTTGTTTTAGGGCAAAGCTGCACAATGAACCACCTGCATTATATCCGCCGCGGGAATCGAGCTCTAACTTGTAGCATTATAAGCCCTCATCTTAACAGCTGAGCCACCACAGGACTGAAATATTTATTCAAAACTTCTGGTTTAAGAAGCTTGACAGAAACGACAACTTGTTAGATCTTCAAGCTTGGTAAAAAGAAGGGAATAACACAATTTTGTTTAATGATCGAAATAAAAGTAAAATAATAATGAATTTTGTAATAATGTAACTTTATGAAGGTAAAGTTTCAACAGTGCGTTAATATTACGATTTAGACTAGGCTAAGGGTCTAAATTACATCACACTCTAGTAGTTGGTATAACAGTATCTATAACAGCGTCATATATTACCACGATATATCCATCCTTTCAGAAAACATTCTTTCTATCCCCAACTTACGGTGTGAGCTTTCCACCTTAGAGAATAACAGCTACAGTGGGGCTCTAAACGTTTCCTACAGGATATGCGCTTTCCATTTTATGAGAAATGCTATATCACAGAGGAAATAATTTTTTGAACCACATAAAGCTAGAGCTAATTAAAAAAGAAAGCGATATATATATATATATTAATATTTATTTATTTTTTCTTACGTCTTGCTGGAAATACAGCATATATCATTGGTGGAGGGAGTTCAATTTTACTAGTGGAAATATGATATCAATAACTGTTGGATAGAAGTAGGGTACAGCTTCGCAAGTGGAAATATAATACCAATAGCTTCTAGAATAAAAGTAGGGTATAAGCTTTCCTAGTGGAAGTATAATACCAATAGCTTCTAGAATAAAAGTAGGGTATAAGCTTTCCTAGTGGAAGTATAATACCAATAGCTTCTAGAATAAAAGTAGGGTACAGCTTCGCAAGTGGAAATATAATACCAATAGCTTCTAGAATAAAAGTAGGGTACAGCTTCGCAAGTGGAAATATAATACCAATAGTTTCTAGAATAAAAGTAGCGTATAAGCTTTCCTAGTGGAAGTATAATACCAATAGCTTCTAGAATAAAAGTAGGGTATAAGCTTTCCTAGTGGAAGTATAATACCAATAGCTTCTAGAATAAAAGTAGGGTACAGCTCGCAAGTGGAAATATAATACCAATAGTTTCTAGAATAGGAGTAGGGTATAAGCTTTCCTAGTGGAAGTATAATACCAATAGCTTCTAGAATAAAAAGTAGGGTATAAGCTTTCCTAGTGGAAGTATAATACCAATAGCTTCTAGAATAAAAGTAGGGTATAAGCTTTTCTAGTGGAAGTATAATACCAATAGCTTCTAGAATAAAAGTAGGGTATAAGCTTTCCTAGTGGAAGTATAATACCAATAGCTTCTAGAATAAAAGTAGGGTATAAGCTTTCCTAGTGGAAGTATAATACCAATAGCTTCTAGAATAAAAGTAGGGTATAAGCTTTCCTAGTGGAAGTATAATACCAATAGCTTCTAGAATAAAAGTAGGGTATAAGCTTTCCTAGTGGAAGTATAATAACTGCTAGGATAGGAGTAGGGTATAATTTGTTTTTAAAGCTTCTACTTTTGACTGGTAAAGGCTTGTTATTTCACTACGTTACCTACAAGCTAGGTCACTGATATTAAAATCAACTTTATACTTTTTTGTAAAATGTTTTCATTCTTGTTTAATCTGTCGCTACTTGTTGTATTAGTTAAGCATAGATGTACAATTAATATATATAAATATTTATATGGATTGTTGCGAATAGGTGTCTTTGTTCAATTCAAACTCATTGTTAGCAATGACAAACAAACTGATTTTTGGTATCAGGTGTTTTAATTTTTACATTGTTGGAAAAGAAGAACGAACTCAAAACCCAACGGACACATACACGGTGGTTAAGGTTTGACTGTCACTCCTATAGTGCACCCACTGTCCCAAAGTGCATAGCAAATTTCTTTCAGTAACGGGACGTGAACCAGGAATCCTTACTTCTAGACAGGTGATTCATCTATAGGTTTATTTATACTTGGAACCAGTAATTTGGGAAATGCAGTCTAAAGACGAAAAGTTGTGTTTTATTCATTCCAGTCACCCTATTCCTAACCACTTTCGGTCGAGTGTAGCCTAGTGGTTAGAAAGCCCGAACTGTGAATTCGAGGATTCTTGATCTGTGTCTCATTACAGTAAATATTAGCTTCTTACTTTGGAGCCGTGTATATATTACAAAACCCCACAATTTGGCCAGACAAGAGTTGGCGGTCGATGCTACTGACTAGTTGCCTTTTCTGTAATCTTTCTATTCAAAAATATAGATGTGTTTGTGCAAACTGCTCATTGTTTAGCTTTGCGTGGAAATTCTAAGACAAACAAACAATTCTGTCACTGTATTATTCACGCTAGTAACAATTCCTCTCGTACCATTTGCGTTTTATCATCTTACAAACAACCTTTTAGGTAATGGTCAATGAAATTACAATGTTTTTCCTGAAGTATACAGAATAATACGCGATGTATGCTGGCTATATCCCTGGTAACTTTTGTTTTCATTCAGAAAAGTCTTGCGAGCTGTAGCAGATCTGATTGGAAATTTTACAACATTGTAATTTTCAAAGATTTAGAATTTCAAAATTAAATTGCATTTCATTCGCTGTTCTAGTTGATATGAAATTATTTAGTATCCAGTTCCCTTCAATAACATCTTAAGTGGAGAAGAGGTGATTGGGCTACCTGTATTGTGCGTTATAAACCCTGAAGCTTACGGCCATGCCACTGGGAGGGCTTAAGCGATTGGAAGAATATTATATATATACAACTATATATCTATATTAGGTTTTTCAATATGTATTTGAAGGGGGATATTATAAGGGTGTTCTTTTCATTCCCAAACCACAACACCAGCAAATTATGCTCTTATAGCTTAGGGTTTTACCAACTAAAATTGATTAATGCTTTTTAAACTAAACTTTGATTGTAAAACTTTCAAATTATTGTTTTATGCTGAGCTCATTTATTGAACTTAAACAAACTCTCTACTTGAACATAAATAGTACAACAATAATACACAGATTGGGTTGAAGCTCCTAGGTCTCAGTATATATCTAAATAAACAGATGTAGCAACAATCTTCACATTGAGTTAGAGTCGCAGTATTAGACTCGAGGGTTGACGCCGTCCGCCCACTACTGTTTTGAGGAAACACCATTTCTGTGTCCTGTCATCTGTGTTGAACAGTAGTGTTGGAGGATTTGTTGTTTTATTTCCGAGTTGGGTAACTTTATACATTCCGCTCTATTTTCTGTAGGAGTCTAACCCTGGGATAGAGTTTTAGATATCTATATGTTACACGCAACAACCACAAGCACATTCAATTGATGAAGCATGATATTTAATTATCAAATTGCAAGCATATCTGCTGACTTAGTTGGAGAAAGCTGTTTGGTTATACACTAACGTAACAATAGCCATTTGAATGAAATCATACAAATTATACAGTAACAACAACAACCCTCTAGGTAAATTGAAAACATACATCCAAAACAACAATCAAGTGAATGAGAACAAGTCAGCTAT